TTTATGACACACGGGAGCAAACACGACAACATGCAGACAGATAATGTGGCCGGCATATTGCGAGTTATAAAGTCATAAAGACACTCTCTCAACAAACGGGCTGATGTTTTCATTTGGTGCTGGACAAACACTGTAACAGCTCTGCGGTTTCCAGCATCTGGGGCTTCGTTTGCCTTCGACGTGAAGCCTACGGGTGTGCAGGGTGCGTGCTGCGCGGGCGCATCAAATGCAGGGCCGAGACGCGCTGGTGGTCGCCTGGGCCGCAGAGGGAGGCAGCGGGATGCTGCTGGCGTCGCTGGAAGCCTGACACCCTGCTAGCAGAAGGTTTCGGGGTGCCTGCAATGGTCTGTGTAAGGCAGCTGAGTGGGGGAAAGCAGCGTCCCACCGGGCAGCAGTGTGCTGCCACAGAGGGGAGCGGAGGGGGCTGGAGAGCCGAGGGAAAGGAGGTCAGCATCGGGATGTGGTGGCAGAGCAGGAGTCGGACAAGGAGGGGAGCTGCCAACGCACATGGCTGCAAGCCGCGCAGCAGAAGGCAGCGGCCTCGGCTCCCATGGTTACAAAGCCTACTGAAGCTGCAAGAGCTCGACGTAAGAACAACACCCCCTGGTAAAGGTTATCCCTAATAAGAAACAGCATGCGTTCCTGAACTGTAATGCTTCCCATTTAAAGCAGCAAAGAGATTTAAAGTACGCTTGTGGCAACTGGCTGCTCCCCTGACCCGTCATGTAGCCAGCCTTCCTTTTCGTGATGTCAAAGAGGACTTTGAAGGAGGAAAAATGGGGCAACACAAATGCACCTTGAGATCTTTAAGGTGCAAGAGTGCATCTGCTCAGACACTTTGAGAATCTCTGTTCAGCCAGCTATCTTGACACTTTGTTCAAAGCTTTGGGCATTTTTTCATCTTCAGAGCAGCCTTCTTCACATTGTGCAGGCGTGAAGATTAAGGCAAGTTCCTTGCTGGTGGGCAAGTGCCTCCTGCTCTGCCTCAGTGCAGGAAATGGACAGCTCATGTCAATGTCGCCTCTTGCCTGGAAGGGTCTCAGCTGAGCAGAGATACCACGCTCGCAGCATGAGGCGTCTGTAATTCAGCTTTGTGCTAACGTCCAAAATTACAAGCTTTCACCATCTGCTTTAGAAGTACCTAAGAAGAAAGATTAGAAGAAAAATAAAACATTCATTACCCGGGGTTATTGTTGAAAACAAAAACAGTAGAGGCAACTGCTGACCTCAGAAACTGACTCGGTGAAAATCATGCTGAAATGTTTCAGCAAAGGCAGGAAATCTGGAAACAGTTTCAGCCCTCCTGTAGCAATTTTAAAACAATAAAGATCAAATTAATCAAAAAGCAGACTCAGAACTGGTGAAAGAAAATTAATTAATTCCTCCCTGTTCACAAAACAGGCATGTCATGAGAAGTGGCAACCAGGGCTTTCCTACAAATGCTCCTCAAGACTACGGCGGAGAAATCTCTTCTGCAGTTAAGCAGCAGTTCTGTCTCCACTGTCTGTTCGGTTGTCAGTCTCTCTCTGAGGGCTCCTCAGGAGCAAAGTGTGACCGTGGTCTCAGTTGTTTCTGCTTATGGCTACCATGGCCCGTGGACTGGGAATAGAGGTGAAATACCTGAGTAAAACTGTCTTAGCAAGCCTGCAGTGACACCAAGATATTAACTAGAGAATGTTTGAATGGATACCTGCCCTGTGTATGCCATCAAAGGCCTCTAGTCTTCTAGTGGACAGGCTGCTTTTCTTCTTTAATCTTCAGATTTTCCTTTTCTCTTCTGTGTAAAAGGGGGGGAGGAGAAAAAAGCCCAAATCAGTGTCAGAGATCCTGAGCAGCAGAGTCACGTATAGCATCCATAACACGTAACAAGAAGTTAAATGACAAGGTAATAAGCATGCTACGTGCATGGTGACCACAGCGTCAGGTTCGTGGAACAGTGGTCATCCGCCAACTACCAGCACGACAGCCAGATCCTTCTCTGAGTGAGAAGCCACCTTGAAGGGCAAGAGCAAAACGAGGATTCCAAAGCTGGTTCATCCTGGGGCTCTGTTCTGACTGCAAGTGAGCAGCCATCTATTGCTAATTGTGCTGGCAGTTTTGCATTGTAAACACTTAGCGTAGGGTCAAAGCCAATGATTCAGAATAGCTACGAAGGTCTATGTGACAAGCTTCCCCAGAAACCTTTCTCTCTCCCCTCTGTCCTTACAGTTCAGTGTCTGCCACCTCGCTCCTCTTCTCTTGCGCTTTCTTCCGACGGTATCGACAGATAATCACAACTGTCACCACAATGATCATCAGAACACAAGCAGACCCAATGGCCACCGCCAGGAAGTGGACTTCTGAGAAATGCACTGTGCGGAGAGAAACAGGTAAATGAACAAGAGGGACACGCAGGGGGCTCTTGGTGTGAGGCTGCGAACCTGTATTCATGAATGTAACACTTCCTCAGGCTCCTTTTTCCCTTCTATCCACTGACTGCCCTCATGCTTTCTCTTTATAGTCCCTTTTCTTCCATGCATTTTCCCAAATGTGGAGGAATACCTGCCAGTGCTTCGCACTGGCTAAATTCATGTGGCCTCTGGTGGGGTTCTTGGCCCCTCACCTTTCTGCACAACTCGGAGTCGCACTTCACCAACTGTGCCATGAACATCTGGCGGGTTCTTCACTTGGCAGGTGAATGTGCCATTGTCAGTGGGCTGCAAATTCCAGATGATGATGGAAACATCATTACGCTCAATATTCCCATCCCAGGTGACTCGCTGTTTAAACCGTGCAGGAGACAGTTCGTAGGGCTCCTTCAGGTAGTAGAATACCTACAAGAAAGAGAAGAAGCTGTCATTCCTACACACTGCTGCCTTTGTGATGGAAGCAGCACGTGGAAGTGGAGTGGCAGTGGCTGGGGCACTTGGCCTGAGCTGAGGACAGCTTTGTTGGCCCAGTCGCTCTCAGATGAATGCTGAGGCCATTTCAAAAGACGGTGCCCTTGCTCCAGCAGCTGTGCAAGCTCTGTCCTGCTCGAGTCTCGGGCTTCATTAGGCTGTGTTCAGCTACAAGGCAGTATGAGTTGAGCTGCTTGCCCTGCCACATTGGCCAAAGCAAAACATTCTGCAAGTCACATCAGGTTCAGGATGTTCAGCTGTGGTGCAAGCAGGGACGGTTTCATCAGGCCCTGGATATTTTAACCCTGATTACCCAAAACTAAACATAAGCAATGTTTCTTCAGCCAGGGTCTGTAAACAAAACTTGCTCAGTGATCATTGTGGGTAGCAGAGAAAAGGCCCAAGATGTATGTACGTGTGCGTTTCAGCTGAGCTTGCCCATACCCACAGCTGGAACCGTTGCCGTCACTGGGCTTACCCAGTGCTGGGCCTTGGGACTGGTTTGTTTGGGCAAGCGTGCACCTGTGCAATGGAACGTAAAGGTCTCACTCACTGGCTCATGAGGGCTCAGGTCCTCGGGCTGGAAGTTCCAGGTCACTGACAGGCGCTGGCTAATAGGGCTGCTGCTGGAAAAGGTGCACTTTAACCTCAGGTTAGTGCCGTTCACAGCATTCACCTCCTTGGAAGTGTGAACTTCCACGGCTGCCGCAGGCCACAGCGCTGTAGGGAGAACAGCAAGGGTTAGAGGTAAAGAAAACTCCTGTCTAGGAGTAAGCTCATCACTTTGCCTTATCTGCATTTAGTCTGTGCAGGAGCCTGCCTTATCTGTCCCTGTCAATGTTTAATCTGACAGTCACAAGCACACAGCTGTAATTAGTGAGGCGGGTGATCCCACGTGTGCAGAATCCAAGAGATCCCCTGTGCTTCATGGATTTTGTCAGTTGATACGCAAGTGGCACAGCGCTGGTTTTGAGGGAGTTTGCATTCATCTGAACTGCCAATACAGTGCTTTCTTTGTAGTTTTGTGGCTGCACAGTTAAACGCTTACAGCTCTGGTAACTGGTTGAGCGAGGACCGCTGAGAAGGACTTGCCTATAAGGACAACAGACTTCATTTAGGGGGTGAAATGTCTCTCTTCAGGCATGAGCAAACTTGACATCTAGGAGGTGTGGTGCTGCTGTAAATGCCACCCCTCCTTAAATACACATTTGCTCCTGCCACTAAAGATACCATACAACTTTTCACGTGCTTGTCCTGGTCACATTTGCACAAGTGATTACACTCTATTGCACTCGATTCCCCAAGCAGATTTCTTCAGAAAAGCGGTCCTGCCCTTCCAAGTAGGATGGCTGAGCCCCAATAAACAATTGCTGTTTCCCATGCTAGAACTTTCCTTTGTACCCTCTGTGCTATCAGCCTGAGTGTCAGGCACACCAGGGTGAAAGCTGCTCTCGCTGGTGTACGAAGTGCCTGTTAGAAGGTTAATAGCCCAGCTGGTCAACTACAGTCAAATACAGTCAGGCTGAGGAACTCTACAGGAAATCCTCAAGGTAAATCTGTAAGCGTTTGTCTGTCAAAGACGCATCCTCTGTTAGCCAAACCACCACAGCTGCCACTTTAAAAATAACAGTGTGCCAGACTACCCTGAAAGAGAGACAATCAGCAAAAGACACAGGAAGGAGAAAAACGAAACAAGGAAACCCAAAGGGTTGCTGGTGAAGACGCCTCTCACGCTTGAGCCTGGCTGTGCCCTGGCTTGCCCAGCCGTTCAGGCAGAGTCCAATCACTCCGGCAGGCTGGTGCTACCAAAATGGTGGTGCTGCGAGTCCTTGCTTTTTTCCCTGCAATCGCTGTGTTGCTTGCCTGTCCGCTTTAGCTCCCTGAATTAGTGGGTTAGCTTCCACAAAACAGCAGAGCTGAGCTAAAACTCTTGCTGCTGCGGAAAGGGACAGTCCTCCCTGGTCCTGATCATGTGCTGCCATTAGTTCCCTTTTGCACGCTGGTCAAATTAACCCAGCAGAAAATGAAAATACTTATAATTTCCTGTCACTTTCGGAAGATGAGTTGACTCACCTCAGTGTGATTCAAGCACAAAAAAGCTTATCTGAGGTTGTAAAATACGGCTTCATGATAAAGACAATAAATACGTTCCCTGTCTTTGAAAATAACTTACGACCAAAGACTTCCTTGCCAAATAATTTTTTTTCTCAACAGAGAAAAAGTGTGAAATGCCAAAACACTGAAGGTGTTCACATTTGAAAAACTTTATTGGCAGAGATCATGTTTCTTTGGATGAGAAACATGATCTCTGCCAATAATACCAAATCTTTTCATGTTAAATTCCTTTGAAAGAACAACTGTGGGAAATAAGTGTAAAATACTTTTTTCAAGACAGATTACTGAGCGTATTCATGTGCTGATGCATCTAGGAAAGGAGGACATGGTGTTCTCAGGTTCCAGCCATACTGAGATAAACCACTGAAAATTCAAGCACGTTTATTATTGTCAGTCTGGAATCGTTGTTGTGTAAAGAATCTAAACTCAGTGCTGCTTAACAATCGCTGACTGTCTAGTAACAAAGACAGGGAAAAAAACAGCTAGGAGTAAAGTCCAGATTCCTGGCAGGAGAGAAAAAGATGTGTAACCAGAGCTCAGAATGAGATCAGTGTTCTTCTTCCGCTTGAACACACCTAAACCTGTTTGTCGATGAAAGTCAATCACTTTGTGCCACTTGCAGTGAACCCCGGACCGAAAGAATCACAGCAATCATCCACAAGTATCCGAGACTCCTACAAAGTCGCTGCCTTAATGAGGACGATAATTAAGGGATCAGAAGAGGAAAGTCAAGATGGCAACTGAGGCCGGACAGTACCAGGTTTCCTTACCTTGGAGCTGTACTTCAAGGAAGAGCGCAGCACCCAGGCAGCTGGGGCCATGCATCAGGAAGAGCTGTCTGTACTCCACGGGCTAAGCAGTACCAGAAAGAGAAGTTCCTTTCAGGTTTTCGAGAACTGGATGACAGAGGACTTTCTCCAAGCCTTCCCAGCACAGCAGAGCAAACTCCTTTCTCTCAGCTTGGCCTGCAAGGCAACACGAGCACTCCTTCTCGCCTGAGTCAGCGAGCAATCCCCGCCCGTGCAGTGCAAGGCAAGGTGCGGCCAGCACAGCTCCCTTTGGTGTGTAAAACAGGTAAGATTAATTTCTTCTGCCTCCCATATTCCTTTGCTCTTTTGTGTTGCAATCCTCCCTCCTCCCAGCTTCCACTGGAAACCACTCCCACTTCTTGTGGGAGGTAATTTTGCTCCTAAAAGAAAATTTGCCTGAAGGTGTTTTCGCTAGCCTGAAGGAATGAGGGCCAGTTGTTTGGCAGAAACCTGCAAGCAGTCCAAAACAGCAACCCAGACCAGACCATCTGTGGCAGCAGTGTGGGCACAAGTCCAGAGGATGGAAATGTCCTGCTGAAACACAGATACCTACAGTAAAATGATCACTACAGCTACTTGCCTGCAGGCATCCTGCAGAATAACTGGGAGACGCATTAACTGGGGCTTGTAAAGTTCTTGGAAAACTCAAAAGACAATTCCAGCCCGGTGGAAGTCCGGGCACAGCTGGGGAAACCCCACTGTGCTTGACAAGCAGCACAAGGCACTAGAGAAACTCCGTGCAATGCAAAATATTCTCCTGGTGGCACGTGGCAGTTGTGAGAGCATGAAAATGAGTTGTGCGTGTGTTGGCAAAATAAAAATGTTTGCATTCGAAGACTATAAATCACTTTAACAGCAGAACCTGCTGCTGGCTGTGGCCGTGTTTGTGTCTGGTCCATAGTCTAGTTCCAAGAAGTCATTCCAGGTTACGAGCTTTCGTTGTGACTGATGCTAATTTTCCTTGCAGGGACGGGGAGGATGCCCTAATCTCTAGAAGTTTTGGAGGGCTCCCTTCAGCTCAGAGCTAAGGAGCAGAGGGAGAGCAGTCATGCTGTGCAGCAGCATGGGCTCCGATGGGGATGTTCTGGATTACCCGGGACACACTAAGAGGATGTCAGAACTGGCCGGACCGAGGTTTTAGTGGAAAGAGGACAGGAGCAGGACTCTCCAACTTCCTGCTAAGAGCAACCATGTGGACATGTCTCCTCCCATTTACTGCCATAACATCCTCGTGGCAGTTTCTGAGGAGAACACTGCATTCATTTTTAACTTTTAAACTTCAGATTCAGCAATGTAAAAAACCACTGAGGCCATCAGTATCACAGATTGTCCACAGACCAGTACAGAGAATCTTGTCTCTGCTAATAGCTCTGAGATACCAGGTATCTCTATTTTCACAGCAGTAATTTGGCCCTGGGTTAGCCCTTCATCACCGCAGCTCCTCAGATTTCCACTCAGTTACTATTCAAAACATCACCTCTGTTTCTTTCATTGCCATGGTAAATATTTATTTTTCTGTGTTTTTTTCGTTTGTTTGTTTTGCAAACAGGATACTTTTGCCTTTTCAGATTCTCTTTCAAGTATCCGCCAGGCAGCGCTCAGCAGTCGAAATGCTGCTGCCTCCCAGGATCCTCTTTCTGCACAGCAGCAACTTCTGGTCCTCGGGCAGCCCATGGCGAGCGCAGCAGGACACGCGTGCTCCTTGCTGTAGCTGCCCTTTGGCCTCGCTGGCCATGCACCAACACGACTGCCTCTCACTGGAGACCGTGTTTGTGTAACACACGGGACGAGGCAGAGGATCTGTTCCGATCTTTGCTTGCAGACAGGTGCTAACCCTCAACATCTTGTTTCAAACACGCTGGCTCCAGCTCTTCAGAGAAGGCCTCGTCCCTGGCACCCTTACTAGCAACATAATTTCTCGTTTTTCATTTTGCGACTGAAGTAAGCAACAGAAAGATCTGGCAGCTGGAGGGAGCTCCTCAAAGAACGCAATGAGGGCCCACGACGTTGTCGTCAGCAACGTCGTTAACCGGGAAGGAGCCGGCAGCCAGCTC